GTGAATGGTTGTCTGTCTCTATGTGTCAGCCCTGCGATAGTCTGGTGACCTGTCCAGGGTGTATCCTGCCTCTCGCCTGATGTCAGCTGGGATAGGCTCCAGCCCCCCTGCGACCCTCAAGAGGATGAAGCGGTTAGAAGATGAATGAATGAATGACTGTTGAAATGTATCGTCATAGATGAAACATTGTGGTGCTACAAATCGTTTTCCAGACGTCAGGGAATATGCTTAGTTGGCGCAGACCCCAGCAGAAATCACATCATCATCATTTTCTATATTTTTTCAGTCAAAGTGAAATGCAGAAATTATCGTTCCCACTAAAATCATGACTCATTCATCCATCCATTTTCATTTGCATATCCCGGGCCAGGTTGCGGGGGCAGCAGGCTGAGCAGCGTACTTCAGACGTCCCTTGGCGTCGCTGGGCAGCACCTGCATCACTGCTGATGCCAAACCGCTGATGCATCTACCTTCACTTGTTAACAAGACCTTGATATACTTAAACTCCAATCACTATATCTGCCAAAAGAATTACAAACCCTGCTGCCCTGTTTCCAGCTCCTGCACTGTTATGTTTATGATGCTGTGGTTATTTATAACCCTTTATGCTTCTTTTTTTAATAAATCTGAAGCCAGACATCCACTGTGTAGAAAGTATACATATTGTACTGTAAGTATGATTGTGAGCATTAGACAGGATCCAGAGAAAGCCAAACTCCATGTGTGATGTCCTAATATGGTTTGTTGTGCTGCTCTCTTTGACCACATACTGAACTTTTGGACTGGTTGTCTGTTTGAGCTTTGGCATCAAATTCTGACTCGTTTCGGAGCAGAGGGCCAGAAAAATAAACCAATAAAAACTTACCCAGAGTTCTGTTTGCTGACATGATTTGGGCATTCTGCAGGTCTCATGTAGTGTCTGTAGGAAGCTTGTTATAACCGTGCTGATTATGTGGTTTCCCAAGTGTCTTTTTTTGTGGATGTGCATATGTGAGAGGTGATCCGACATGTGATTGGCGTATATCGATGACTGCCAACATATGGACCACAGACCATTTGACAGTTATCAGAGCTGGCAGATCTGCCGGATCCGCCGCAAAATGTCAGTGTCAAGAGTGGCATATACGTCACCGTGACCGCATGGCCCACACAAACAAGCCAAGGCAGACTGATAAGACTACACATTCTCCCTCTGACCTCGTCACATATCGACGTTTAGTCATGGACTTTCACATCCAGATATGACATGCAAAGTACCCTGGGTGCTCTGGTTGTTCACATTCTGGGACGCTGTGTCAACTACAGCCTGATACATGCATTCCCTGAAATGCACAGTCCTGCAAATTGAAGTTTTTTTCCTTCAACAACAAACGCACATGGTTGGGTTTAGGCGACAAAATCATGTGGTTGGGTTTGGAAAAAAGAACAGGGTTCAGCTTTATGTTCATACGGGAGGTAAACACTGGCTTCCTGGGTGAAAGTCGGTGGTTGTTGGACCCATCTACCAGCACTCCCACCCACCCTACTTGGACTTTGGCCCCCTTAACTTGAGGTGCTGTAAGGCTGAATATCCCCTGACATCGCCAGGTGCTGTTACAGAATAGAGGCCACCGGCTGCGTATCATGCTGACGTGAAAGGACAGCTTATTTCGTTGGTGTCTGACAGTGGAAGTCACTACCCAAGTGCCGGTATTCGACAACTTCAAAATGAGGCTGGATTGGATGAGATGGAGATCTGATGAAGGTCATTTAGGCTGACATGAAATCATATTGTGAGCATTACTGTCAATAGGCCGACGTAATTTACTAAGCTTGTTTTCTCCTGTAAGTTAGAGAGTTTGGTGATCATATTCTGGTGTCTTTAATGAGTGTAGAGGTGTTGTCGTGTGTTTGTTGGCCTTGAATCGCCCTGATTTCTCACCAGGATCCCGTTATGTTCACCTGAGACTGTAAATGAACCAGATTGTTTGCACATCCAGTGATCTGTCTCTGAGGCTGCTAAAGATGGGGGCTTGTTTAATGTTGTGTCTCAGTCACCTGGAGACAGACATTTGGACTGCAGTTTGATTGTCGGAATAACTGTTTTTATCCTGTGACGTTTCATTTGGCGTTTCCATTATTTTTGGCCAAAAGTTCTCGTCTTTGAGCAGCAACTGAATTAACGTGAGGAAATGAAAATAATGACCTTCTTTAAGCGGTTGTCCATTTCTTGGTAAAAAACAAATTGTCTTCTATTAAAACATATTATCTTTATGTGTGTTCAGTGGCTGGGCTCCAAACAGGTAACCTCTGTTTACGAAGTTCAGATTAGATTTTGCTCAATACAACTTGCTCAATCAAAAGTCAAGTTAAACAAACACACAGAACTGGACACAGTAGTGCCATGAGTCATCAGAGTCAGGATCACATATTGGACTATTATCATTTTTTATTTTGAAACAACAGTTTTGCTGCTGAATAAAACGTGTGGGAGCCGAGGGACATTGAAAAGATACATAGTTTGTCTCAGTGTTGTGATGAATTTGTTTTGAAACAGCACACAGTAGGCTTCAGAAAAGGTCAAAGCATTAGTAATATAAATGTTAAAATTGTTATTTTTTTAGGACTGGGCGGATACGATCGAGAGGTAAAACATAATGGCTTTTATTGTGTATTCAGACTGAAGTAAATGACTCAAACCAAAAATAACCTGAAGCACCAATTTATACTTTATATCTATGTTTCTCATTTTGTTTTTCACTGCTGCTAAAATTATGATCATTTCTCTTTTCTCCACTTCCTGTGTGTGGATGTGTGCGAGTGTGTGTTAGTGGGCGACATGGGCGTAGGATGCTGGGTGGCCCCCGACCCTTTTCTAATTCACAATAAATTAATTCTTTTAATCTTTTTTTTCTTTTCTAACTTTTAATGTCAATAAGGTGTCAGAGTGCAGAGTCCATAAATACCATCAAAATAGCTTGTTTTTCAAAAAAGTGTCGGGAGGATTCTCGGAGCCCTTGGCAGAGGTCCAGGCTTAACCTCAAATGTCCTTAGATACTAGAAATGCCCCTGCGTGCACCTGACCTGTGCAGGGCTGTGGCAACTGGCCCATGGCCTCCTGTCAAGTTGAAAATTCTGGTGCACAGTGTTTGTGGAGAATTTATGAATTTAGTTTCTGCAAACAACAAATATGTCACATTTTCACGTTTCATATGCATCATATCAACGTTTCTAAAGTTACACATGAGCTGACTGGAGCAGTAATCGGCTGAACTCAGATAGAAACTGTGTTTTCCACATGGCTTCATTTCATGAACCCGGTACCCTCTGCAGCCACGTCTGCTGTGTCAAATATGTGCCTGCACCCGGCGGCAACTACCCGTACGCTGAAGTCAGGTTCACTTAAGCAGCTCCTTTCTACCCAGCATAATCACCAGAGGAACATGATGGCATTGTACATCATATTTCAAGCTGCAGACCACTATTCAGACCAACAAACAACAAAACTGGTTGTGTTTCAGCGAGTCACTGCTGTGTTTCCAGCAGCTTCTTAGACACCACATGAGGGTTTTGTAGCGGCTCACCACAGGTTTTTTTAGTGCCATGAAAAGTGTCAAAGCAGGCAAAGAAAGTAGAGAATCCTGGTGTACAGTATTTGTGGAGAATTTATGAATTCAAATTTTCATATTCATGTAGTAGTATTGTTTTTGTTATATTCATTTTACTTTTCTTTTTGGTATTCATCTTTTTTTGTGTCATCAGCCTCGACTCCAGAAAATACATACGTTAGCACTGATGTTTGGTCTTATTCTTTGTCTTTTTTTACTGTTTTATTTCATATTTTTTGTATTAGGTTTGTTTAAAGATAATAATGATTGAAAAGGTATATATTTTTTACCCTATATTAATTATTTGCCTTCAAATATTGTAAAACATCTTATCCCACAATATAAATTACTCTTTTTATTCTCTCCTAATGTAGGTGCGCTGTGGTCATGTTTTGCAACAGTGCACCTTAATTACTGGCAAACAGTGGCAGTGTGACTCAAATGACAATATTGTTAAAGGGGAACTAATGTTTTTTTTTCAACCTGGGCCCTATTTTCCGATCTCCTTTTGTCTAAATGAGTGATAGGATGTTCAATATGTGACATTTCTCCAGTATGAAGCTAGGGCTGACCTGCCTGCAGCCCGTGAGTGCGCGCTATATTAAATAATAGGGCACTCAGACAGCGTCAAACAACGTCAAAATACGTCCACTAAAAGTGCATTTTTTTCACACAGATAGGCTCGGATTGTTAGTATAATTATCTGACAACATAACGGAAAGGAGAAATGAACGTCTGCATTTACCTTTAGCTGGATTCAGACATGTTCCTCTGCCTGTTGCTGCTCCCTCTCTCTCCTCGTATGCTCTTCAGTTTCAATGAGCTCTGGGTCCATGTACGTCCGTGTACTCCGTGTTCAAATAAATACGGGCGCTCATCAAATTCAAATGGCTCATCCAGATCCAGCTGGTCAAAATCTGGTAAAAATTCAGCCATGACTACTCCAAACAGAGTAACTCCTGGCGGTCACTCCAGCGGTAACTTCCTGCAACAACTCAAATCTCGCGAGACGTGAGATTTCAGAGCCAGACTTTCACTCTCTGAGTGAGTGTTTTGACTTGCCACAACAAACATGTCCGAATTTTTACCTGATTTTCCTTCTCCTTTATTTTATTTTATTTTATTTTATTTTATACTTGTTTGTGTGTTGTATCTTTATTTTAATTCGTTTTTTTTTTTTTTTGTACTGATTTACAGTTATAATTATCTGTATATTATCTTATCATGCTCGGGCCTCAATTTTTGTAAAAAAATTAATAAAAAAGTACTGACAGTGGCTCTTGGTGCTTGTGGAATCACATGGGGATTTATGATAAATTCTTTAATAATAAGTATCAGTAAAATGGCATTTTTTTCAGTGTCACCAAACAAGCTTAAGGTGTAACCGTCCTCCTGTCTGTGCTTTCTGTGCAGGAACAGCTCAGAGCGGCGCAAGGAGAAGTCTCGGGACGCAGCTCGCTGCAGGCGCAGCAAAGAGACGGAAGTTTTCTATGAGCTCGCTCACCAGCTGCCGTTACCCCACAGCGTCAGCTCTCACCTGGACAAGGCCTCCATCATGAGGCTGGCTATCAGCTTCCTGCGCACGCGCAAAGTGCTCGCCACGGGTATGTATGTAGACTCTACCACACACACACACACACACACATACATACATTCACATGCATACTGCATTTACATTTCTCACACAAAGGAAAGTAGTGTTCGTGTGCGTGATGGTATGTGTGTGACTAATAGTCCAGTAAAGTAGGAGGGTATTTGTTGGACCCTTTCTTGCTTCTCCTTCCTCTCATCTTATTTAAAATTAGAAGCAGAGGAAGCTCGCCAAAGAAACAGACCTATTGTTCTGACATTCCTCCACTGTCTCGAATTGAGATCAGAGAAGAACAAAATTAAACAATTGCAGCAGCAGCAGCGTCACTCACTGGTCAGCACCGCGGCGTGTAGAGACACAGTTTGTTTTTCCTCTAGCAGAGTTTGAGCATTCGGTTGACATGGGAGAGAAGGTGGTGAAATGAGGCCCGTCAGCCCATTAACACCATTAAACTTCCTCCTGGTTCATTAAAAGTCAAACCTGCTCTGGGCCATATTTTTGCTGAATTAAATGGTTAAATTGGTCATCACACAGCTCTACAGCTCCAGGCGCCTTGTAGCCTTTTGCACCGCATCATTACCTTGTGTAGCAATGTGTTTGTTGTTTATGTTTTAGTTTAAGAGCCTTATCTGATCCTAATCTGTAATTTAAAATGAGGTTATGTGACACTGAACAATAATTGGCTGCTCAACAAGCCATTGTAACAACAGCCTGCCAGTGAAGCAGGAAAGTATTTTGATTAATACAAGAGCTGAACCTTATCTATAAATCTTTACACGGCCAGCTGCCATTTTCTCTTCCTAATTTATGTAACTGTCGATGGCCAACTTATTGTCTTGTTATAAATTGCTCTGCATTGTGTGCTGAGGAAACAGTGAAACATACAACCAGTGCTTCCTTAAACAACAGTGACCGCTGCTTCCTATTTCTGTCATCAATCAGAAAATGAAGCAATAGGTTTGTATTATAAAGCATCTTTCATACAGTAAGCAGCTCAAAGTGCTTTATAATTAAACTTCTACAACATAAAATATAATAACAGGCAAAACAAATAAAATAAAGAATTGAGCAAAAATTATAAAAACTGAAAAAGAAATTATTATATTATAATATTTTTGTGATCATAAAAAGAAGCTCCCCTTATTTTTTTTTAATTTATTTACCTGCTTAATTTTTTATGAATTTATTAATTTTTCAAATGTATTTCCTTCTTCTTCTTCTTCTGTTCCTTCTTCTTCTTCTTCTGTTGTATCTTTATTTTAATTCTTTTTTTTTTTTTTTTTTTTTTTTTTTTTTTTTTTTTTTTTTTTTTTTTTTTTTTTTTTTTTTTTTTTTTTTTTTTTTTTTTTTTTTTTTTTTTTTTTTTTTTTTTTTTTTTTTTTTTTTTTTTTTTTTTTTTTTTTTTTTTTTTTTTTTTTTTTTTTTTTTTTTTTTTTTTTTTTTTTTTTTTTTTTTTTTTTTTTTTTTTTTTTTTTTTTTTTTTTTTTTTTTTTTTTTTTTTTTTTTTTTTTTTTTTTTTTTTTTTTTTTTTTTTTTTTTTTTTTTTTTTTTTTTTTTTTTTTTTTTTTTTTTTTTTTTTTTTTTTTTTTTTTTTTTTTTTTTTTTTTTTTTTTTTTTTTTTTTTTTTTTTTTTTTTTTTTTTTTTTTTTTTTTTTTTTTTTTTTTTTTTTTTTTTTTTTTTTTTTTTTTTTTTTTTTTTTTTTTTTTTTTAACTGATTTACAATTATAATCATCTGTATATTATCTTATCATGCTCAGGCCTCACTTTTTGTAAAAAAATTAAATAAAAATAAAAAAAGGAGCAAATTTAAATTAATCTGAATTATAAAATAACACATTTTGCTTAACTTTCAATTGTATGTTTGCGTAACAGTTTTAGATGTGCACAGAGCTTTGTGTGGCGTTAAATTAAATTAAGGAAAAAGCACCAGACATGTTTTGTGTTTACCCCCGCTGGTATCTAGTTCTGCATAGTTTCAGTTTCATGTTCCAAGATTTCAAGATATCTGCCTCTGAAACTTCACCTGCCACACATCACAGTGAAGGTAAATGAAACTCTGTGATGCTCAGAACGTCGAAAAAATATACTATACTACTTTATTGGAAAACATTTTCCAGATTCAGTATCACTGTTGCCCAGAAAAATCCACAAAAATTGATTAAATGACTTTTTAATTTCAGCGTTAAAAAAGGGCATCATTCCTTAAAATCTTAAAGTCATGAGACATGCACAGGTGGAAAGAGTACAGGAGAGATGACGCGGGATGGAGACAGGAAGATGTATCTGTGAAGAAGTAGAGGTCAGTGAGTCAATGAGGAAGAGTGACAGAGTGCATAAGGAGGATGAGTAAAGGTAATGAGGGTAGGAAAGTGGTTGGTGCGAAGGGAGGAGAGGACGAGGAGAGCCGTGACATGCAACAGCAGCAGATAGAGCGTTATCAGGCTGGTCTGATTGCTCTGTGATGGGAGGAGAGATTGGAGAGGAAACACGGAGCTCTGCCCATCGTTCAGCTGATGCTGGCATTACCCCTGCTAGCCATAACACCCGGCTGCCTTGGCGCCAAACATACACACACACCCACACACACACTTGTACACACAGATGCACCCGAGAGCACATGTGCGAGCTGCTATAGGGAACACCTTTCTTACGTAACGTAAGCTCAGCTGGGACCTAAAGATGTACAGTGATGAACTGAATGGGTCTTAAAAATATCATGAACCATCTGTGTTCTGAAATATAAGGAGTATTTAGTCGTCCAGAGTTTTAACCCTCTGCTTTGCTCGTTGTTTATTGTTTATTGTTTAATGGATCCCCATTAGTTGTCACCATGGTGATGACTATTCTTCCTGGGGTCCCTAAAAAGCAAGACAAATAACAGTTCCTATACAGTGTTCCCAAAATAGAGATCACAAATAATAATAATAATAAAATAAAATAAAAAAACAAAGAGTAATGAAATTATTCCCATAAAGAAACTAACATCATAAAATAAAAAAATACTTAGATGAATAGACAAATATGAATATATGTGTACATAACGTGTGCATACACACACATACACCCATATACACCCAAATTCCTACAAGCACATATATATATATACATACATACAGTGCCCTCCAAAAGTATTGGAACAGTGAGGCCAATTCCTTTATTTTTGTTGTACACTGAAAATATTTGGGTTTGACATCAAAAGATGAATATGGGACAAGAGATCAACATTTCAGCTTTCATTTCCAGGTATTTACATCTGGATCTGATACACAACTTAGAAGACAGCACCTTTTGTTTGAACCCACCCATTTTTCATGAGAGCAAAAGTATTGGAACATGTGACTGACAGGTGTGTTTTGTTGCCCAGGTGTCTCCCAATTACATTGATTATTCAAACAATAAATAGCACTGAATGTCTGA